CTGGGTTTTTACTAATTTGTTCTGGGCTATATTAATTTGGTCTTGGCTTTTACTAATCTGTTCTGGGCTATATTAATTTGATCTTGGCTTTTACTGATTAGATCTTGAAATGGTGTAGTATCAATCGAGCTTATATATAAATCGTATATATATGAACATATATCGACCTGGACGTTCTTGGAGCTGCTGACTGTAGCCCTTCTTCTGTAGCCATCTTGGCTCAAGATCTCAGTGTACTTTTGGTTGACCTGTATCTCTCGAGCGTATGGTGGGTTGCGTTATCTCCAGTGGTAGCCCGGGACTGTGTATATCGACGAATAGTTTATATTAACAATAGAAATGACGTTAGCAACATCTCTACTCTCTGATGGCTCATAAACGCCACGACGTACGACTTACAAATCGTTCCCACAGTGGTCGCGTAAAAATGTTTTGACGTCGCTATCGAGAGGGTCGTGCATCAGCCTCGAGTCAAGCCATTCACCTTGCATTTTATCGACTCGGTTGGCGAGCTTGTCTAGACCGTAATGATTACAAACCTGATGATCGCGAAAATCGCAAAGTCATCGGGCAGAGGGCATCTAGCCACACTGAAACGTTTTCGTAATACGGAGGAGATACAATGGGAGTTTTGGTTGAAAATACGAAAAATGGAGCCTAACATTTTCTCTATGACTCCCTGATATCGCTTTGTACCAATCACACACTGCGGAAGGAGGTATCCGCAACTTTCTAGCTCCAATATCGACAGTAAGAGACTCCCATTGGGGCACCCCTACGCACAGTACGCCTATTTAATCCTTTTTAACCAGGCCTATCATTGGACTGGAATTTCGCGAAGACCCTGTCCTAATTGTGAAAAAACGGCGAAATTTTATTGAATCTTCGTAACGAGTTCTCCTCTTTGTGATAACCCTCAGCGAAGCGCCCTATAAACTGCACGGCTGCATGCGTGCTTATGTATGTAGCCTAGGTGGTCCCAAGAATGACTTCACCTGCTTAACATTGTCAGCTGCGTGCATCAACCGTGTCAGTTTCTGCCAGTCGCATCCCCCCGATAGCATTATCTCCTCAGCACTCGGCGGCAAATGAGGAAGAGGCGTCAGATGGGGGCTAATAAATCCTCGTTGGCACTATCCCCAGTTTCAGTGAGTTCTTATCCGAGTTGCACGGTCGTCAATTGTTGCTACTGCCACATCAATAATATATCCAGTAGGTTCCCGGCGAATGTGTTAAATGCTTTTTTTATATGATCCGCATCTTTCCGTTCCGATATTCCAACTCGGCGCTCTCGCGATTGAAGCATCTTAGCTTGATGCACGTCTCTCAAAGCCGATGCGTAGTATGGCTCAACTTGAGCATTTTATCACAAATGTTCGCCCCGAACCTGCCTTACTGTTCCCCATTAATGAAGTACTCGAGCTGCCCTCCAAGACCAGTCTTGCCAGCCGCGGTCGTAGCCGCTTTGAGGAGCTCTCCTGCTGGATAAAGAAATACCATTACATTATATTCGCACTTGATCGGGGTGTGATCTAATCGTCGCGTCATGTTCATCCTAGCCTCGCGGAAATATGCCGCTCGACTGTCGAAAATTGTTCCTAATGCGGGGATAGGGTACAGTTCTATGATAAGAAATATGCTCGCGACTCCTAGGAGCGTTTGGTGTTTTTCTCGTAAGACTAGGACACCCTGAAGGGCGGCGACTATATTCAACAGGGGGACTAGCTCAAATGGTAGAGCGCTCGCTTAGCAAGCGAGAGGCACCGGGATCGATGCCCGGGTTCTCCATTTTTCATGAAATTATTCTGCACTCGACAAAGAAAATAGGTGATGGCAAATGACCGCGAACTTGAGACAAAAGTGATTCTCGCCCGCTGAGTGACATCAACAGGCTTGTCTATTAGCCTCTCTCAGTTCACAAACTTCGACTGACGCATAATTCCGGTGTATAAGTTAGTGGAACTCAAGGCACAATTATAACGATAAAGAAAGGCGGTTAGTAATCCCGATCGAACCTATTCACTGAAGCTTAACTCAATACGAGACTTCTGAGACATTCAAATTGAATCAAAAACTGTCTTTAAGCAGTCTAACTTGAGCAAAGACATCACTAAGACTCACTGCCTCTGTCCCGGTCAACTCCGCAGCACGCTTCTGAATAGCCTCATTATCAACTCTAAGGAATGGATTACAGTTGAGCTCATCGACGAGCATAGAAGGGACCTAAAAAGATTCCGGTAGTTTTAAAAAAGATACCATTACGTGTGTAGATTGTGGATGATATACATGAAATTGAGATGAGATAGATCGCTGGAGACACTATATTTCTCGAGATGCTTCGAAGATACCCAAAGATGCGTTACGCACTATGAAGAATTATCACGCGCTATAAGTCTATCTTATTCAGTATAATATACTTATTTTGCCGAAATAATTTTGGACTAGATATCTTATGTCCTATAAATTTCAATTACGCATTATAAAGATATTTTACGCACTACAAAGATATTTTACGCACTACAAAGATATTTTACGCACTATAAAGATTCCCAATTCTTACGGTAGGTTCTCCTCGTTTCCTCATCGCATCAATAACTTCACTCGCCTCTTTCAAACACTCATTAGTAGGGTCGATAAATCGGGCGAATTTCCTGAGAAAAATTTTACCGATTTTTTCCGTAAAATTTTACGCGTTCGATTGAGAATATTCATGGGCACAAAACATGACCGTATCTTTGGGCAAGTTGCGGATTTTTTGCAAGGTCGACCAGAACTGATCTTTTGTACCTGAAATAATTTCGTGGCGCGCGGTTTATTATTCGATATAAATAGTTCCCTGATTTGTGGCGCGCCCAGAAATTATTACCTTCAAACATTCGGCCACACCCGAGAACGAACAGAGTATCTCCGCAAAAGAAAACATTAGCCTCCGGGAAATGGTATCCTGAGGTTGAAGCTTGTAAGATACAGAATATCTCAACTAGCAACTACTACCAACATGCCCTTTAGTGTGGCCAGGAAGATCGACCACCTTAACCGTGAGATCTCCGAATTTGAACTCGTCACCTTCTCCCACTGCTTTATCGATACCTAAGAAGCACCCCTACCGAGAATTGAACCTGGGTCGTTCGCATGAAACTCCCAATAAAGCCAGCTGCGAAAAAGAACTTAGAACAAGGTAGATATGAAACCGAACAAATGACACAAAACTTGTCCCCATAAGAATAAACAGCTCCGCTTTAGTATCCGTCTCCACCAGATCTCTCAATCTCCCCTTGTCTGCGGAAATCTATGAAATTACAGATTCAACGCCGCTCGAAAAAAAAGTCACGGGTGGCGGGAGTTGGGGCTGAGGTGGAATTATATGCATGTAAGAAGAACCCTATATCGTGATAATCTTATACTCAAGTATATTACTTTACCAAACAGCGCGATTGCGTTCGTTGGATCGTTCGGGAAAGCTGCTTGAAATTGATAAGATTTCCGAATTCGCGTAAAACCGTTGAAGCGCCCTATCTGAGTCCCTCGATCCAACTCACTGTGCTACTTGAAAAAAAATATTTTCCACCAATTTTTCATCGGTGAAATATTACCATCAATTTCGCCATCCCTTCTTGGTCCAATAATCTTGCAATGTGTGGCTGCTTTGATCTCCTTATTGCCGCCAGTGTGATCCCAGTGGTGATGCGTATTAAGGATGAAATCCAATCTGAAAAAAAAAATAGAAAATTTTCCCAAAAATTTCCGAAAAATAATGCGATGAAAATCTGCCCACATGGAAAAACCAATCAAATATTCCGTGGACAAACTTAATCCGAGCAGAGGCGAACAGTCCAGCTGAAAATAATTTCCTGTGGGGAAAATTTTTCATTATTTTTTTCAAAATAGCGTTCCAAATGAAACGACAATACTCGTTAAAAGGCAACCATTTTTCATAGGAGAAAATCTCGACGCTTTCGTAATGAAATGTGAGGAGGTGGTTGAAGTAAAGAATAACTCCGGCAGTGGTGAAGTCCCACTGAGATACGAAGGAGGAGGAGATATAATGGAAGTTTCGGTAGAAATATGTTCCTAGAGCGAAAGGAATCATCAAGTGGAATTAGTCTGGGTCGCACGCCCGATGGTCCTCTACAACTGCCGCTTGACTCCCACCGAGTCATGATGATCCTTAGTAGAAAGATTCCTTTTCCAGAACGGAATTTACTATCAACATTTCCAGTGTGTCCAGAGTAGGATCAGTTTCTACCTGATTCTGATTCTGATCGCTCAAGTGATTCAAGTTTGCGCCGGCAAACTGTCAGTTCGCAAAGTGCAAGAATTTGAGGACATCTTTATGGCAGTCCTCAGGTGTCCATAGATTTCTGTCATAACCCCCGTATAACAACTTTTTGAACCTCGATAAACACACTTCCGCGAAGCAAAGTGAGTTTTTATCAACACTACAAGACACAATTATATAATTTTCCTCAGACAACGCATTCGCAGGAGCCTCGCTTAGTTCTAACAAACAACGAGCCACTATTCCCCATAATGACATCATCAAATGAAACAGCAGTCCAACCAAATAACACCTTCCATCATAGTTAGCCTTTAACTCTCGCAGCAACGGTTCAGCTTCAGGGGTGTCGACTAGTCCAACCGTACCGGTCTGCAAAAGGTGATCAACGTGCATCGTGAGAATTATTTTTTTCCATGGAAAATACGATTTTCCGAAAAACATTTGCGGGACTGGACTTTGAAGAGTCAATCAGGAAAGACGTTACTGACTTGGTATTGGCAACCGACTCACCGACCGAGTTCTGGCGGAAATACCAGACACTAATTCAGGATAGATATTCCAGGAGAGAAAACGGGATAAATAACGTCGAGCAGGATCTCTGCGAAGCGCCAGGAAAAATTTTTTTCTGTTAGATTTCCCGAAAAGGACAACTACTTGGTGACGCAATAAAACTTTTAACAATGCAATTTTACAACGTAAATTTGAAGTAAAAGGACCGAAGAATGTTAACCGATCTACGAAACGTAGAGTGGCTCAGTGGGGCAGGATATGGACTGCTCGGAGGTCTCATCGACATTCGAGAAAACGAACTGTACAATTATCGACGTTATAATTTATAATATAGGGGAAATTACAAATTTTCGCCGAATTTCCCAAATTTTCCTATTTTGTCGCCAAACCCCACTTTTCTCCGAAAATTTCCACATTTTTTTGTCAAATTTTTCCCATGTCAGAAATATTATTACTTTCGGACAGCGTAGAATCCAGCCATAGTTGTCCTTAAGGCAGGGCACTCGACGAATTTCGAGGCGAAGTGACGGAACTTTACCTGAAAATAAACAGGAACCGTTGACGGACTTTACATCATTTTACTCGTAAAATTGTATTCTGGAGAATCAACAACTTGATGATGAAACAGTAATAGGACAGCAACCACAGTAATAAGGATATAAAAAGATAAATTAGTAAATATATAAAACCAGAATTACCATAAAATAACAGCATTAATTATTTTAACAATTAACAAGTGAATAATAACAAATTCTTAATATAACAAACTGAAGCTTTATGAGCTTTCAACAGGTCTTATTTCCTGGCATTTTATTCTCAAAACTTTGTAAAATTACAACACTTGAAACCATCAATAAAACCAACAATATTAATTAAAAATTTAGCAATTTTTCCCATTTTTCCAATTTTTCCCATTTTTCCCATTTTTCCCCATTTTCCATATTATATTACCCAAAGCAGCGTCGCCATATAAGAACTTTCTGCCAGCCGACTGCATAATGATAAGTTGTGAATAAGAAACTATAACAAACGCAATTCCGGTCGATTTCGTGGCGCGTGACTATTCAACGCTAGTTACCGCGTTGTGTCGCTTTTTGGTGACCGAAGTCTCTCTAATTGAAGGCTTTTACAAAGGGAAGGGTTTGCAGCGTTCCCGGCGTGACTGTTAGGTCTCGGAAAAAAATAATTTCCATTAAATTTTTCGTCATTTTTTCTCACGTATTTGCAATCATATGAAAATGCCTCCAGTTTGTCGAACTATTTCATTCTTCACTGAGCCTTTCTCTCTTTTGCTTGTTACGGGGAAAACGATAGCTTGCTCGCATCGACATGAACTTTCAGTGTATCTTTGTGAATTTTCCGTAAATTTTTGTGAATTTTTGTGAATTTTTATGAACTTTTGTGAATTTTTGTGAATTTTTGTGAATTTTTGTGAATTTTTCGCCATTCTTTTTTTATTTTCTCTTCAGTTCCTTAAATGATTTTACCAACTAACACCCCAGATTCATTACTCTCCACCAGAGCTTCATTAAGTGACTCTCTCCTCCCTATTAAAAACGCTGATGATCCCAAAAAGACGGACCTTACTGGAGTTGGACCAGCGTAAGAGAATTGGAAGATTTTCCGTAAATTTCCGTAAATTTTCGTAAATTTCCGTAAATTTCCGAAAACTTACAGTGTTCCTGAATCATATGCTTATCAGCGATTTTTTTACAGAACTTTTCTTCTTTTTCAAATTTTTCTCGTGAAAGTTTCCGTACTGTTCAGCACTGACCCTCTGACCTTTCGAACGTTTAGTGGTCTGTTTTTCCATCAATTTTAACCGAAATTTTCCTGATTTGCCCTCAGGTACTCGGTGATGGCTAAAACGCTTGTTGGCAGTGGTATGATGGGAATGGCGTATGCTGCAACCCAATTTGGTAAGATTCGCCATGAAATTCGGATAATACGAAGGAAAAAATTTCAAGAAAATTTCGGAAAATTTAGAAATTTTTTCATC